GTTTCCCAGAGCTCTAGAGGACAAACACTCTGGCTCACCACTGGACTGAATGACAGCTCCCTCCACAAAGCCAAGCCCTGACGGGAGATTGGTGGGGTCTCACCTCCAATCCTCCCAAACCCACGGCATCCCAGCACTTAAGTACCCTTCTCAAAGGCCCTGGCTCTAGGGTTAGACGGCTAGATCGGAATGCTAGTCCCAGTTGATGCTCTTAGGCAAATTGCAGAACGTCTCTGAACTTGAATTTCCCTTGCCTGTTAAAGCAGGAATAAAAATACCAGCTGCCTAATAGAGCGGTGGTTAGGAATGGATAGAATTTTTAAAGTCTAGCGCAGTGCCTGGGACACAGCAAGCGCTCAGTAATATTGCTTATTAGTAGTATTATTTTCCCCTGCGCTAGCAGCAGCCAGCCCTGTGTTGGAAAGGGCGGCGCGACAGCCCAAGCTCCCTGGCCTTGGCTCGAGGCGCCTCTCTATGCGAGGCCCCTAGAGGGCGCCCGGAACTCACCTGTCCGGGTTTTCTGCGCGGTGGCCTTGTCCGGCTCCCACTTGTGCGCGGCTGAGCCGCCAACACTGCCTCCAGCCTTGGGTCCTGCGGCTACACCCTCACTCACCAACCGAAAATATATAAGCTCTGGGACCACAAGGCCGAAAACCGGAGGGGCACGGCAGCTCCTAGCAAAGCCTCCCTTTCTGAGGCATTCCGCAGTGGTGGCCTCGCATCCCCACCTTCCCCTACACCCCTCCCAACCTTCTCACGCAAGGAGGCCGGATTTCCTCAGGGCAGTGGTCGCTGGACCTTCTGATTGTTGCTGGGGGTCCCCAAGCCCAACCACCGATCCAAGGGGTCTGTCTGGGCCAGAGCTGTTGGACTGGAAGCTGAAGTGTGAATGGAGGACGTTCCCACCCCCAGGCCCTCTAGGAGCTCAGTTAGACCCTCCTTCATCTGGGCTGGGAGAGGAGGGGAGGGGGAAGAAAGGAGGGGTGCCCATGGGGTAACTGCCAACAGGAATTGGCCAGGCAGTGACAGGCAGTGACAGGCAGTGACAGGTGTGAGCTTGCGAGAGGTAACCACAGGCTCCAGCAATGAAGGTTGTGTGTGCACTTGTGTATGCCTGGCACCACACACCTATACCTCCCCTTGTGTAACATTGGATACTCTGGCTGTTGCATAGTTAGAGGGAGTACATGAGGTCCTACACAGCAATGCAGGCTGTGAGTGTGAGGTTGTTTATACCTACCTGTCAGCACAACTGGGGTACCCCAGGCTCTCTGCACCCACCTTTCTCATTCATCCTCCACCCTACCCTAACCATGGCAAATTCCACCTTCCCAGTCTGCTCTGAGCTTTTTGGAAACCTTTTTGGAACCCCAGCCTGTTCCTATTGGTTTCCCCAAGACAAGAAATCCAGAGGAAGGTGCAGGTGGGTGGTACCTGAAGGCCTCCGTGGTCAATCAGGTCAGTGTTGAACTGGAGCCAGGAGTCACTGGACTCATTTTGAGCCAAGTTGGGAAAGTGGAGGCAGCTCCCTGCCAGTCGGATTCAAAACTGAGCTGAAGGGGGACAGATTGCACAGAGCCCTGGGAGTGGAGAAGTTTGTTAAAGTGGATGTGAAGGGAGCAAGAGGAGCACAGCTTAAGGAAGAGGATCTCTTCCAGCATCTGAGCTGAGGGGCCCTCAGAGTAGGCCTGGGGCCACAACCTCCCAGATTTCCACAGCATGGCCACTGGAGTCCCAGCTGCTCCTGTTCTGCATAGCCCATAGGGAGGGGCTTACTGAGTTGTCTCTTGAGCCTGCAACCTACCCTGCCCACCTGCATGTCACTGATACAACAAAGAGGGCACCCCTCTTATTCTTGGACCCATAGCAAACCCCACACCTGCTTCCTCACTAGGGAAGCCATGGAGCAGGCAGGCAGTATTTAGGCAGTGTCTATCTCCCCGCAGCCACCACCACCCCCAAACACAGATCTGGTGACACAAAGCCTCTATTATAGTCAACAGGTTGAGCCAGATTTTTTATGTGCCACCCACCTCACAGCACAGAGCCTCTGGGACCCCAGCCTTTCCTGGGTTCTTGGGCGGCAGGTCACCATCCACTGAACCACGAGGATGGGACGGGCTGCCCCAGGTCTGAGCCGCTGCTCAGGGCTCACTGGCTGCGGGTATTTGGTCAGGGCAGTAACCTCTCTCAAGACAAGGAAAAAACGGGGGTGGGGGGAGGGTCTCCGCCCAGAAAGGTTTGTTAATTCTTCTTTTCCTCTCCGGCACCTCTGCATACAATTATTCAGATGATTTATTCCTTTTCTATTTTTGATCAAAGACCTATTATTTCCGATAGGCGCCATGAAAGACCAGGCATTTCGAGCTTTCTACTTGGAGCAGTTGACCTTGACTCTGACCCTTGAAGCCCCTGGGTTCCGGTTTCCGGCACACTCCGGACACAGTGTTCAAGTAAAGCTCCCTCTCAACTCACAGGCAGAGCCAGCGTCCCCACCTTTTTCCGTTGCAGCAGCACTCGGCTGACGCGGGATTCATTGAGATTCGTCCAACGAATTCTGACGGAGAGCGGAGAGCGAGGAGTCAGTCTGGCCCGGTCCCTCAGCGCCAATAATTCCAACGCCTCCGGGAGTCTGACACCTCCCGGAGACCTAGCCCGGGGTCCAGTGTTGGAGATGTCCTGGAAGAACGCCTAATCCAGGACCGCAGGCGGCAAAGAGCGGCGGGAGCAGGCAGGCAGGTATCTAGGTAACTCGGAAGTTGCCCGCTCTGAGCGTCCTGGGTCCCATTGCCTGGGATGAACCTGACATGCAAAATGCCTGTTTTTCTCCAGTCCTGGGCCAGCTGGGCAGGGTCAGAGAACAGCGGGGCTAGGAGTTCCAGGCCTAGATCTGCCAACGCAGTTATGAGTATTAGGCTGTTCGTGAAGATGGGGGGTGGTGCCCAACTTTGCTCGCTTTGTCTCTAAAAGAGGGTGAGAATGGCGGTGAAAAGTACGGGTTTTGGAGCCTGTTTGGGGTGTTGTGTTTGGGACAGCAGTTGCTCCCCATCTCTACCCCCAGCTCCTCCACGGTTGGACAGTCTGTGGTCAAGAAATATCCGGGGACTTCCGGACATAACAGCTTTTGGGGGGTGGTCCCTGGAATAGCGGTCCGATCTTGCCTGGGGTCTGGCGGCTTTGGGATGGCTTCAAGATTTTACTGCGGGAGACACCGATTCCGAAAAATGTAAATGGAGGAAAGAAACCGCATTCTGCGAAGAAGGCATGGACTTGGAGGCGACAGTCATGCCGCGAGCAAAGGGCGCAGCCAGATCTACCCAAGGAGAATTTTGTAGTCCTGGGAGGCCATTTCCGGATTTTGCTCCATTTTGTACTGAGCGCTGCAGCGGGTGAGTTCTGGAGACCCTCTACAGGACCAGAACTGCAGCCAGACCACCCCCTCCCACTAATCCACACTTTGCCAGGGAGTCCTAAAACCCCAGAAAGCCTTAAAGCTGGCCAGTATTTGGACCCAGAACCCTCCTTTGCTGAGATCCAAGGAGGTGCATGAATGAGGGTGTGGATTAACAAAACTACTCCCCACCCAACCCAAACTTCCCCTTGGGCTTCCCTGAGTGGGAGATTACTGTGCCCTTTGTCCCTGTATTGCAACCCTCCATGGCTGCCAGGGCAGGGATGTGAGACAGTAGCTCTGATGGTTTTGGTCACTCCCTCCATCTTCAATCATATTGCACACAGCTCTGCAGTCCTGCCCCTGCCCCATACCTCTAGTTTCCAACTGCAAAGTTCTCTCACTTTCCTATCCCAAAGAAAAATCCTCTTATCTCCCTACTTCAACAGTCCCTAGGCTAATGAGTTCCCCAGACACACCACCACCCATCTTCTCCAGAAAAGCAGATCCAAGTCAATTGTTTGCAATTGGTCTGGAAGTTCAGGGACTAAATGATATGGGGAGGGGGGTATTCTGTGACTGATGTTCAGATCAGAAGGATCTGGGGCACCCTGGAGGTTTTCAGAAAGACACTTCTTCCAACTTCTCATAAGCCAGACTAGTCCTGGGGGCCTGAAAGTCCCACTTACAGCATCAGAGAAAGTCCTGGCTCTAATTCCTGATTTGAAATGCTCCAGTCTCTATAGCTTGCTAGGATGAGCACAGAGACCCAGAACTCCCAACAGATAATGGTCTCCCCACAAAGTATCCATGCATACATCTTAGACTCCCACCACCACATACACCATCAGTGCACAATTACACCCACTCACCCACCAGGACAATCTCCCATAATGATCCACATGTCCACTATATGCACTCCCCCAGTTACAAACTGTCACAAGTACATACTGTACCATTCAAACACATAGCTCACACATGACTACATCTCACAATTACATTCATACAATTAAAGATGATACACAATCAAAAACCACATATTTAACACAAAAGTAGATTCACAAAGAGAAACTAATATGTACTCTGAAAAACACTAACACAATTCATATACAATCACAAAAAGGGTGATCACACAATTACCCCAAAAGACAGTCACATTTTAACATGATTACACACACACAACTTCAAGCCTATGCATACAATGATAGTTTCAATTCACAACTTAAGCAGAAACAAGTATTTACATACAAGAATTTCAAACACATTTACACATGTAGACACCATCACAAACATTCCCCATCAGTAATGTTCTAATTGCCCATACTACCACAAACACAGAATGCACACACACACACACACACACACACAACTCTCACACTCCAAGATATCCACATCCTTTCAAATATAGCAATCCCAGGAGAAGCTGCCTCTCCTCAGCTCTACCTTCTTTCAGTTTGTCCTCCTCCTTTTCTCTCTCCAGAGTCTGAGGGTCTTTCCACCCATATATCCTTTAGGTACAGGTACCAGAAGCTGCCTCTGAAGCCCCAGCTCTCACCAAACCCAAGTAGCTGCAAGATGTGCAGCTCAGCAAGGAGCAGGCAGCCCTGACTCCGGATCCGGAGGGTTTTATTATTTTTTTCCACATAAATTACACAAGCACTTTATAAAATGGTTACACAGAAAACACCTTATTAAGTGCATAACTTAAACCCCCCTACAAACAGGATCTGGAGAAATGGGCTGAGTTTGTGTGAAAACCTGTCTGTGCGTACCTGGGTGCAGCTGGGATGTGAGGTTGGGGGGCCCAGTAGGCCCAGTGAGGCTGTTGTGTGTGGAATGGTGTGTCACTGTGTGTCTGTAGCTTTGTGTGTCTTTGAGAGAGAGCGCCATGCTATTCGGGATGAATCTGGGTAACCCTTGGCCTGTACCTAATAGTGAGGGTCAACAGTGTGAAGGCTATGACCCTATGTGTGCATGACACTCTGCCTTAGCTCATGTATGGTTCTTGGGTGGTACCTGGAGGGATAGTGACATCACCTCTATGTGGGCCTATGGTTATTCAAGTGTGTGATGAGGAGTAGGACAGAGAGGAGTTTCCCAGGGCAAATTCAGAGATCTGGAGATCCCAGAAGCTCTTGCATCCAAACTCATCTCCCTGTCTCTCTCCGTGCCATGTTAAAATTGAAATAAAATGAAATGAAGGAACACTGAGAGGACTCTGAACATTTCCAGAGGACGTGACCTGGGGGATCGCATAGGCTTCTGGGAAGGGGTCTCCGTCCCTGTCCCCAGCGCTCTTTTCTTCCATTTAAGACCGGAACAGTGTTGGCAGGAGCGTTAGGGGCCGGTGCAAGGGGAGCAGCTTTCCCCTCCCACGTGCAGTCCAAGGTGGGGAGGGGTGGGGGAGAGTCCTGGCTCTGAGGCCTCAGAGGCCCTTAACTCGGCCTGGGGTCCCCCAGAGTGAAGCGTGCAGGCTCACTCGCACGCCGACGCCACAGATGTGACGCTAGTGATCTTGGTGGAGTCGTCAGACCAAGGCTGCAGGTTCTGCAGGGCGAAGAGCGACGAGTTGTGTACACACAGTGGGTCAGCCGGCAGCGGCTGCGCCAGGCTCTTCTGGAAGGCCTCCTGCTGCAGCTGCAGGAGGATGCGGTTTGCCTGCTGCCTCTCGGCCTCACGCTCCTCCGCGGTCTGTCGCCTGTACCGGGAACAAGCCGTTACCCGCCAGGGCACCAACCCGGCTCCCGCGCGTGCGAGGGTTCCGAGCGCGCTCCCGGGAGATAGCTTCGGTGAACATGGCTCCTGTTTGCAGCCCCCAATTCCAATTTAGGCTGTTTTAACACATTCCATCTACTTGAGTGTCCTGATTCTGATAAAGGCTGGGAATACAGCCCAGTTGGTAGAGTGCTTGCCTCGCATGCATAGGCCCTGGGTTCAATCCCCAGCGCCACGGGGTGGGGGGAGACTGGGAAACCCAAAAGTGGATGGAGCTGTATCTCCCGGAGGAACTGTGGGTATGTCCGCTAGGCCTGAACTGCTGGGCCTCCCATCTGAGCGCAGCGCCCACACCCTCACCCCCTTAGCTAGGGGTAGGTTGGCAGGTCGTCTCTCCCCACCAGTATGGGAGACCTGGCGCCGCCCCAAACCCAAAGAGCCTCACCTCCCCACGAGTACACAGAGGCAAAGACCAGCGTTTAGACCTCTCTTCTCTCCTTTCTCTGAACCTCCCCCAGGGCTCAGACCTCGTGCACCAAGCCCTGTGCCCTGCCCCGGGCTCCCGCCGGACCCACCAGCTTCCTCGGAGGCAGTCTTGGGAAGCGATGACTCACTTATTCCATTTAATGCCGCCCCTCCACCCTGTCAACTGAGATCAAACGTCTGTCTCTAAGGTGGACAGACCTAATGGGAGTCCCCGGGGCCTCCAGAAGCAATTTGTAGGCGATCGATGAAGCCGCGCGAAGCCTGCGAGGGCTTCTTCCAGCGGCCGCCGCTAGCCTCCTCGCGCCGCCCCTTCTGGACTTTTCATTCGGTGTATCTTTCTGCCTCTTTCTTCCCCTTGGTTCCTGCGTTTTAAACTGCACCCAAATGTTTCTCTTCATTCACTCTGTGTTTTGTCTATTGTTTTTTTTTTTTTCATCCCCCTTCGTTTTCTCTGAATTAAGGGAATTTCTTTGAAACGAAAATGGCGATTTTAATCATCCAATGCTTTCCTTTATTGTACATAAGATTTCCTTAGGCTGCCTGCCATGCTCCCTTTTTCTCTTGGAGTGGGGAATCTATCTTTGTCCCTCTCCTTTGTGTTTCAGTTTCTCTCTTTGCTTGACGCTGCCTTTCTGTGTCCCCACTCTAGTTTGGTGTGTGTGTGAGGGGGTTGCCTGGCTTCTTCCCCTCCCTTAGTCTACAATCCTTAGTAGGCCTTGAAAATACCAGCGACCCCTCCCAGCTAGCCCAAGCTCCCTCTTTTACCAGTTTTCAAAGGGTTGAAACCGAGTCCCCCACCCCTTCCCCAGAGACAGGAATGTTGATGGGGGGCGGTAGACTTGCGGGCCCGGGCTTCCTTTGTGGCCCCAAGGCGGAATCCCGAGCAGATTCCTCGCCTTCGTTCAGAAAAAGAGGAAACTCCAATTCCTTCCTCTCTCCCCGAGGCCCGCCCGGCCCGGCGCCGCCGCCTCCGACGACTTTGCCCAGACTCTTGCGCACCCCCCGCCACCCACCCAGAGCCTGAGCGTTCGAACTCGCGACAATGCGTTTGGACCTGAGAATGCGGGCCAGAAGCGCAGGAGGATGCAGGGGTGCAAGAGGGTGTATCTGGAGAATGTTCCAGTGTCTGCAGGGAATAAGGCTACTTAGGGGAGTGGGGGACGCTTAATGTCCGCAAAAGTAGGGGAGAGAGAAGAACGAAAACGAGAGGGGTTGACGTATAGCATGTGAAAAAAATAAAAATAAAACGTGTAGTAAGTGTAATTGAGAAAGGAAAATGTCTTTTTCTCACACACCCATCTGCTCCTAATTGATCCCCCTTTCAGTGGGACCCACTAAACCTAGTCACAGCCGGCGCGGATTGATTTTTTTCCTCCCAGGGTAGGGAACCCGGTGGGGAGGAGGCAATCAGAAGGGCCCAGCCTGCGTTCTGGGGCCCCAGTCGCCCTGCCGGGAGTCCGGATGGAGCGCAGAAACAAGATGAGGCCCGTTTCTGCTTCCATGTCTCTGGGACAGAAGAGGTTTCCCCGGTAAATGAGAATTTGCACAATCAAAAAGCCTCTGAGGATTCACTGAGCCCAGAGGTCCCAGATACACAGTAGTCTAACACGCCTGTTTGCCCTAGCGGCGGCGGAGACCAGCCGCATCTACATCCGCACAGTTCAGAAAGTCCTGAAGCCACCGGTAAAACAGAGCTAAGTGTCTCCAGTCCCACCTGGCTATTGGTCTTGATTGCTTCCAGCTCCCCGCGAGCCTTGCAGAAGCCCGCTCCACCAAACCGATCAGAAACCAGCGAGCAGAGGGAGTCTGTTTGCCCAAAGAGAGCCAGCGAGCAAGCCGAGAGCAGCAAGAACTGTGCCGCCCGCGGCAGGCCTTCCCTATGTGCTCACCTCCACTTCGTCCGCCGGTTCTGGAACCAGGTTTTGACCTGAGCGTCGGTCATTTTGAGCGCCTTGGCCAAAGCTGCGCGCTCCGCGGAGGCTAAGTACTTCTGGCGGTGGAAACGCTTCTCCAACTCGCAGATCTGCAGGCGCGTGAAGGACGTGCGCGGCTTCTTCTTCTTGGGGGGCGTCCGGTTCTGGTAGGGGTGACCTATACGGCGTGTTACAGTGAAGGGTGAGAGGGCCACTGGAGCGGGAGACAGACAGACGGCAGAGGCAAGCGGCAGAGCGTCAGGAGGCGTCCCAGGCCCGACACCACGCGAGTCAGCGAGCGCAGTGGCTGGACCCCTAAAAGCAAGACCACGATCCTCCCAGCAGCCCTCAGCTCCAAGCCCGCCACGGGAAAGGGCACCCTTCCGCCCGCCAGGCTGACGCCTCCTCGGCAGCCACCACCGCCTAGGCCTCCCTAGCCCGGGGCTTCCCAAGCCCAGTGGCCTCCTTGCTCCCTTCCTCCCACCCAGGGTCAGTGTAAGGAGAGCTAAAGGTCACAGCCCCTGGCCTCCAACCTCAGAAAAGCAGGCCAACGCTAAGAGGCAGAGGGTAATCAAGGTGCCTGACTCTAGGTCTTGACCTGAGCACCTTCACAGCCCTTCAAGACATAGCGTATACCAGGTGTGAACTTACAGATCTGTGCACACAAACAGGAGGATGTATACACCCAGACAAGTACAGACACAGCACAAGCACACAGGACACAAGGTAATAGGAGGCCATAGTCATATACTCCCTCAGAACCTCCTTCAGTCCCAACACAGGACTAGGATGGACTGTGGCTCCCCAGAGTAAGCCTTGTGCTGAGTGTATAGACACACACACATACACACACACAAACACACATACACAACAGTGGTCTCCCTGTCCCAGGATCCTAATATATGTATATCCAGGAGAGTGGGGTCCTAGTTGGGGGTTCCTCCAGAGCTTTCAACACTGACCTTGGGTAGGGGAATGAGGTGGGCACAAGGCTCTGCCTACTCAGGCCTGCCTGAGATCACCTGAGTTGGAGCATTGGGGCCCATGAGTGAGGGTTCTTCCTGGAGGCCCACAATGCAGCAGCTGTTCTGCTTCTGACACCCCCCACCACACCACACACACACACACACACACACACACACACACACACACACAGGCTTCTGCCACAGTCCCAGAATCTGGTCAGAAGCTCCAAATGCAGTCTCTGTGCTTCATAGAGGGCCTGGAATTCCTTGGGATTATCTAGCCACGCTTAGCTCTAAAATTCTTCTCCCAATGTCTTTGCACACGTGTGTACACCCACACATACACACACACACACACACACACACTTTCACAGTTGGGCCCTGGAGCTGGGCTGGGAGTCCCAGCTGCAGCCAGCAGAGGCCTGGTTGTCCTATGTCCCCTCTCTAAGGCCCAGACCAGGAATTGAGTTCAATTCGTGGCAGTTTCCCAGTGGGGTTTGGGGATCTGGCCTGCGGGAGGATCATGGTCTCAGATCCAGGGAACGGGAAGTAAGGGCCTGGGGAACGGGCTGTGCCGGAGTCCGAGCTGAGTGCCCAGAGCGGAAGCGGGAGCGGAGGGACCCGCGACCAGCCAAGGAAGGAGCTGAGAGGGCAGGAGCCAGCCTCCACCTAGTGCAGTAATCATCCCGAGAGTCGTCCTCCAGCCACGGATGCATTATTCACCCCGGAGACAACAGAGTTGGGCCCTGGCGAAGACGCCCAGCCGGGACAGAAAGAAAATGAAGAGCAAGCTGTCTCAGGCGACTCAGCCCCGCGCCGCCACCGAAAGGAGAAAGTCTACTCTCCGACAAGGACCTGCCAGCTCTGCTTCGCGGGGAACCCGGCTCTTTGCCGGGCCTGACAGCACGATGGGCACGGGAACTTGATGTGTGTATGGCGGGGCAGAGGTGGGAAACCTGTTCTTGCATCTAATTGTGGGGGTCCCAGCCTCGGTCAGAAAATCGCAGCCGGGGCGAAAGAAACACTTTGTTCACATCGCACCCCTTTCTCTGAGATCCCTGAGCCTCGAATGTTTACAGAAGATAGTCTTGAATCTATAGCCTCTTCCCTCTACCTGACTGGACCCCAGGATCCCAAGAGAGGGGACCAAGGATTGCTTCTTGGAGCAGGGGTCCTGCAGGAGAGTAGGAGGGACCCAGGCTGTGAGAACTCTTGGAGCACAGCGATTCTGGGAACATAGAATTCGGCGGACCGCTGAACTTGGCGAAAGCGAGGAGAGGAGCTGGGCGACCTGGCACTTAGAGGGGTGTTCAGGGAGCCACCAAGCAGGGAAGGGGTAGTGCAGAGCCCGAGCCACGGCCAGGCGGGGCGCGCGCGGGCCGGACTCACCTGTGAACCTGTCCTTTGTGTATCTGCGGTTACTCTCCATCCAGGGGAAGGTGAGGCCGGTGAGGTTGTTGACACCCGGCACGGCAGGCACAGAGGGCACAGTGGGCAAGCCAGTAGCCAGGGGTTGGGGGTGGGCCACGGCTCCAGCTAGCGGCCTGTGCGCTGGCACCCGGATCACCCCGGCAGCGCTCAGCGCCCCCCCGCCGCCGCCGCTCCCTCCGCCGCCGCCGCCCGGACCAGGGCCGCCCGCCAAGGCCATGTTCACATTGTAGGAGCCGGCCAGCGGGCCCATGCTGCAGGCGCCGCTGCTGCTTGCGGGGCCGCCGGGGCCGCCCGGGCCGCCAGCGCCATAGGCCCCCGCGCCCCCGGCCCCGGCCCCGGCTGCGGAGCCCCCGCCGCCATAAGTGTAAGCGCCTCCGACCAAACAGCCAAGGCCGTATTCTCCGTCCTGGAGGCGAGAGGCCGGCCCCATGCAGCCGCCTTGGTCCGGGCTGTTGAGGATCTGGTCAATGCCGAAGCTGATGGGCTCCGCGTGGCCGGGGTGGAGGTGGTGCGGACCCAGATGCTCCATGCTGGCCCCGGCCCCGGCCCCACGGGGGGGCCCGGGCGGCGGGTGCTTGCTGCGCTTGGTTATGGGGGGCAGCAAGCAAGGGGGCGCGGAGGCAACAGCGGCTCCTGGCTGCGCCGGAGACTTGAAGACGAAGTGCGCAGAAGGGCTAAAGTAGGGGGGAGGGGAGAGAGAGAAGGGGCTCCGTATTCTTCCCTTCTGCGGCTTCTCCTTCCCCTCTCCGGCTGCTTGCTCGCTGTTGACTCTGGGACATCAATCACCGGGCGAAAAAGCCCTGTGCTAGCGAGCCTCGCAGTTTCGGCCGGGTCTCTCCATTGGCTGTACGCTGAGAGGAGCGGGGTGAATGACAGCGCGGGGGAGGGGGAGAAAGGGGGAGAGGAGGCCAGGAGCCCAGACAGATGCAAGAGCCAGAGACAGAGGGACAGAGACCAAGGCTCTGAGTAGTTCCTGTAGAGAGGGAAGAGGGGAACAATGAGGAGAGGCTTAGAATGAGAAAGAAAAGGAACAGGAAGTGGCCATTCCCAGAGATGGACAGACAGACAGACCCAAGGAGGGAGAAGTGAGAGTCCTTTGCCTCTCCTGGAAGGAGCCGCCCCCTCATTTTTGGACTAGGCCAAAGAAGTCCAGCCCACCAAGCCTCTGGGGACGGGTGTCCTGCCCAACTGGAGAATCTCCCCAAGGGCTCAGCTGGGAAACACCTGTCACTCAACCAGGCGATTTACTCCAACTTCAAGTCCGGCTTGTTAGAAGGTAGAAGACTTGTCTTCTCCCAGGTATGGAGCCCAGGCCCTGAGGCAGGAGGGTGAGTTCAGGCTTGTCCTTCTTTAAAACAGGGCCTATGAACAGCTAGCTACATATTGTTATAAAAAGCAGCAGCGAAACCAATTCAGCCCCTTTAGAGAAATTAAGGAAGGTAAGACTTCCTGAAAGGCAGGTACAAGTCAAGAGAGTTGGTTCAGGGCTTGCTGCTGGGGTGCTCCATCCTCAAGATACCCCTTTCCATTTAAATAAACACATTCTTCAAGAAGCAATCTCCACTGTGTTTGAATGAATCCAACCAGTTTGCTTTACTTTCCACCTAGCACCTAGCCCAGGCTGGCTATTCCAAGCAAGAAGTCTTTAAACTGCAGTGAGAAGAAGGAATTATTTTGTTATTTTTGGAGTCTCAGGGCAGGAGACCTAAGGGCTTAAGGTAGTGGGGGCTGGGGTTGGTGGGACTAGGATCAGGGAAGTGCATCCAGGACAAATTTAGGCCTTTTCAAAGCTTTGCCTGTGGCTGCCTGGCTGAGAGCCCAAGAGAGAAGGAGGAAACTCCCTTTTTCTGCTTCCTCTCTTTTCCCTCTCCAGTCGGGAAAGGTCTGCTCTCTCCTAGGAGTGAAGCTCTGAGAAAGGGAGGTCCCATTCAGATTCAACCTTCTGGGAGGGTTTATCTCTACCAGGTAAGATGCTAGAATGTGAAGGCTCACATTCTACCATTCAAGTCTCACTGTAATCTATTTGTTTTGGTCATGTCCATCACTTCCACTTGAAAAGATCTTCTTGAAGGCAGGAAGTGGTTTACTCATCTGTGTCCCCCAGCTAATACAGACCAAATCAATAAAATATGTTCATCTTGGTGAATAATGAATGAGTGGATCTTTAGTCAACAAATATGTATTGAGTACTTACTATGTGCCCGGCACTATTCTAGGTACTGGAGACACAGCAATGAACAAAACAACGTTTCTGACTTCCTAAAGATTACATTCTATAGGGGGGGGGGTGAGACAATAAACAAAGAAGATAGGTCAAGTGCAACACACAGGGCTGTAATCTGTAAGTACTTGGAAGGCTGAGGAAGGAGGACAGCAAATTCAAGGCTAGTCTGGGCAACTTAGGGAGACCTTGTCTCATAATTTTAAAAAAGTGGGGGGAGGCTGGGAACATAGCTCAGTGGGATAGTGCCCCTGGGTTCTATCATCAGTACTGCAAATAAATAAATAAATAAGCCAGATGTTAGTAAGTATTATATAGAACTATATAAACTTGACAGCAACCCTTTGAGATGAATATTATTCCAACTTTACAGATGGGAGGACTGGAGTGGCTAAGTTGGTATATAGAGATCAAGATGGAAGAACTAGACTGGCTTTGCTTTTCTAGGTTAGCCTAGAAACCTGGCTGCTGGCTGGAAGCTGATCTACATGGGGGAAAACTCTGATCTCCAGCAAAGGGGACAAAGGCCCCCTTGAGACATAGCCAGATATTAGTTAGTAGTTGTTTGTAACTCTAAACAAAGCCATGAGAAGGAAGGTCCACTCCTTTAGGAGTTCTGTGCCCACCCCCACCCCCCCACCCCCGCACAATCCAGGTATTATATACAACCTAGAAGGTTCCAAAACTTATTTGGAAGTTGTTTAAATCTAAATGAGTCTCTTTCCTGGCTCTTATCTTGAAGGAACACAAATGTTTACTGAATAACTACTACGTGCCAGGACCACATCACACATAAGACTCATAGCAATCCTGTGAAGTTAATATATATGTCCACTTTTTTATAGTTAATAAAACTGAATGAAATTTCATGGCAATAATTATTCATAACAACCAGAAAGTGTAAACAACTCAAATGCCCATCAAATAATGAATGTATAAACAAAATGTGACATATTCATTCAAGGGAACATCATTCCACCCTAAAAAGAAATTTTAAAAAAGTGCTGGTTCATGCTACAACAAAGATGAACCTAGGAAGCATTATACTAAGTGAAAGAAGCCAGGCACAAAAGGCCATATGATTCCATTTAAATGAAATTTCCAACATAGACAAATTCATACAGGTAGAAAGTAGATTTGTGGTTGACAGAGGTTGGGAGGAGAGGGACAGGGAAGTGACTGCCAATGGGTACCAAGTTTTGTTTTGGAATGATGAAAAGATTCCATTAGATAGTGGTAAATTTTGCACAATTTTGTGAATATACTAAGAAGTGCTGAATTGTACATATTAAAGGATGAATCCTGTGGTGCATGAATTATATTTCCTTCTTAAAAAATTTTTAAAAAGGGACTGGGAGTGTACTCAGTGCTAGAGTACTGGCCTACCATGTGTGAAGCCCTGGATTCAATCCCTAACAAAGGAAGAAAGGAAAGAAATGAAAACTGAGACTCAGTGAGGTGAACAAACCTGCCCAAGTTTCTGTAAGCAGAAAAGGATTGATCTGAATCCCCAAACCTGAACTATTTCCTCCTGTAGGAGATTGAAAAAATCATGGGAAGGGCACCATAGTGCCTTAGAGGTTGAATCCCAATGGACTTACTCCTTTTCTAACCACAGTTCTTTCTGCCTACTGCAGTTAAAATCCTATACTTCTAGATTAGCTTCAGAACAACTTCTCTTTGCCACCCTTTGGCCAGTATAGGAAAGTACTTGAGTTTTCCTAATATTCTCCTCTTCCTCTCTTCTTCTCCCTCCAGAAATGCACCTTTCCAGGTTCTGACCTTCCAACCCTGTCTCTTCCAACCCTTTGGCATCTGCCTGACTCACCTCTTAAATTCCTCAGATCTAGCACCAGTTGTCCAGGGTGCCAGGGAGGAAACTTTGCCCTTGCTGGCCCAGGTTGGCAGAGGGCACAGCTGCCTAGTGATCAACTAAGATTGTCCAGCTCTTCTCATCAAAATCTAGCACCTGAGGGATAGCCTGGCTTTCCTCTGCCCTCCCCCTTCCTTGCCTTCTTATCTAAGTAAACTTTTATCCCAATCCACTTCTGAGGTAGTTCTGTGACTCCACTTGACCTCAGTCCTTCAATGGGATAGTTACTGAGGACCAGGGCTTACCTTTTTGGTCCTTGCCTAGAAAGATAAGGCCAGGGGGTCAGAATTTGTTGGGTTCTTGCCTTTATTGCATCTTCTGGAAGTGCTGTTACCTGAGCCATACTGCAGGTTGGAAAGTCTTCTAAAGTGGGGGAAGGAGAGTGACACAGAGCTTGTGTTTATTTGGTGCAGGTTCTCTGTTTCCACTGTACTTAGCATTCCTTGCAGAGAAGCACTGCTAGGAAAGAGGAGGGCTGGGAAGGAAGCAGGACTCACAAAGCACTGAGATGTCCTAGTTGCCTTCAATCACAGTAATTATTTCTCTTTTCACTCTCCAATAATTCTGTGTTTTTGTTATCTTCAGTTTACAGATGAGAAAACCTCAAGGTACTGAAAGTTAGGCAGGGGCAAAGGCTAGAATTCAGCACTGCTTTGGGACTCCACTATCACAAGCTGCTTCCTCAACGCTCACCTTGGCTCTTGCCTTGCAGGACTATCTTGCACTCCTGAGCCTAGGTGAGTTGCAAACCCTTTTCTCCAGTCCTGAGGCCACCTGGTAACTCCTGTCCCCCAACACCATCTCCCCCCTCACCAGCTGAATAAAGAAGTGTCTCCAATTAAAGGGGGAGCAGCTGGGGCTGAGGCCAGAGCTGGGGGTGGAGAGAAGGATGGGAACGTCCCATGGGGAAGCCTCTTTGGATCCCACACAGCTCCCTCCCCCCTCTGGGAGAGACCCTTGGGCCAGGGGTTGTCCTTTAGCTTAGGGGTATATGTGGTAACTTAATTACTTTGTTCATGGGACTGTGTATCTACAAGGGGAAAAACGGATGTGAAAGTACATGTGACCGTGAGGGTTGAGAGGGCTGTGCAGATGTCCTGATCATGTCTTTAAGGAATAATTTTTAAAATTTATTCCATGAATATTTATTGAGTGTCTATTACATATCAGGCACTGTGTTGGGCTGTTGAGATACAACTGCAAGTTAAACACATGTTGGTAAGATTGTTGGAGGAGAGAAGGAGTTTGGGTTGTTTCTACAACTGGGTTTTTCCCATGAGGTATGTGTGAGAATATAAGTGAATGTGTGTTTTCTGCAACAGCATGTGAAGCTGGTTTCTATAAATGTTCCTCTGTGCTGCACACATATGTGTGAAAATATTAGTGTAATAATGGTGTGTGTGTGTGTGTGTCTGGGAGGGTGTCTTATATTCTAATATAGTTGTCAGGGAAATGGCCATATGTGGGTCTGTGGGGAGTGGGGAGACAGGGATGCCTAATGAATATCCTGCAAAGAAAGAAATATGTAAGGGGATGTGTAACATGCAGTGGTCCATGGCAGGACCCTTGGGGGTCTGTATTTTTTAAAAAAATATATATTTTTATTAGTTGTTGATGGACCTTTATTTTATTTACTTATTTTTATGTGGTGCTGAGAATCGAACCCAGTGCCTCAAACATACTAGGCAAGCTCTCTACCACTGAGTCACAACCCAGCCCCTGCTTGGATTCTTATTCCAAAGGAAGATATAGGCTCCACTACCCCAGGCATCAAACTAAGGTCTCCAATCTCTCTCTGAAAAACTCCCTTTCAAGGAAGGCTCAGAGACTCTCAAATCCCACCATTCAGCACTCCATCTGGACAAAATATCCCTGTCCCTACCACACACACACAGGAGATTGAACCCAAGGCTTTACACAAGCTAGGCAAGCACTCTACCCTATGCTATGCTACATCCCCCAGCCCTTTTTATTTTGAGACAGGGTC